TGGGGTGGGAGGGGGTATTGTTTCATGGTCTCTGTGTGTATATAATGTCTACTGCAGTTTCCACGGTATGCATCCGATGAAGTGAGCTGTAGCTCACGAAAGCTCATGCTCAAATAAATTGGTTAGTCTCTAAGGTGCCACAAGTACTCCTTTTCTTTTTGCAAAGACAGACTAAGACGGCTGTTACTCTGAAACCTATCGGTTCTGCCTTCCCTGCAGGTTTGGTGGAATTGGGGACGGATAGTTCTTGGGTGTCTGTCGGGGAAGGCCATGAAAGGAGAGTTTTGGGCAATGGGAATTGGGGGAGGAAGCGCCAAGTCTTTCCCTGTCACTTCCTGATTGTGGGATTGAATGATCCTTGCAATTTTCCATTAAATAGAATTCGTTCTGATTGCTACAATCCCTTCCCTGCGCATTGCCCAGATTTTAAAGCTTTATCAGGTTTCTCTCGTGTTTGATTAGAGCTGCCTTCCCGGAACAGAAACCTGTTTCTTCTCCTCTGAATCGTCTTATGAAGCACAAGCTTTAGCGACGGGCACCTGACCCTAGCCGTGGCCTTTGTCACACACCTGTTCACACCAGAGGATCCCTGCCTGGTTAACGAGCAGGTGAATCTGGCTCAAGGAGAGAAGCTGATGAAATGAACAGGCCTGTAGGACTCACCAAGCCAGGGCAGGCCCCAGTTTTTGTCTAACTGGTTCTCCTGCCCCCTGTTCCCGTCCCCCACCCCCAGCGCAGCACCTCAGAGCCTCCAGCCACTGACTGGAGCCTCGTCCCGTCAGCCCGGGAGCTGCAGGTCCCCGAGGGGCGATGGGGCAGCTACACGTCCCACTGCAGGTGGACGTGCGCCCAGCGCTGGAGCCAGAGCGCTTTGCCCAGCTGTTTTCGTGGTGTGGCACGTGCCAGCCAATCTCATGGACCCTCCCAGAGCCCACAGGGCAGATCTGCCCCGACCCGCTCTCAGCCCCCGCTGAGCTGCCCTCCCGTCGGATCCAAACTGGAGTCTGCCCACTGTGTTTTTCATGTGTCTACCTCACATCACCAGCAGATGGCAGCAGATGGCCAGGGTAATCCATGGCAAACTGGGTGTCTGGCAAAGGCTGCCCTGCCTCGCTCCCAAAGGGGTGAGCTCTGTGCCAGGGGTCTGGGCTCCAGGGGAGCCCCAGGCAAAAAGTGGGGTCCCAGGCCTGGCCCGATGAAGGGGGCACTGCCAGGGAGGCCTCCCATGCTGTGTAAAGTCCAGATGCTCGGACAGAGAGAAGGGAGACTGACACATGGACAGAGACAGGAGGCCCCAGGATGCTCTGACAGTTTATTGGTGTAAATCATTCAGGGTGGGGGGGACGCTGCAAAATCACAGGCCTTGAGAGAAGAAATGTCCCACCCCCTGAATCCCCTGCATCCCCAAATTTTCCAACGGTGCCCCATGCCCCGCTCTCCCCCCGCCCCCGACAGTGTCCCCTTGCCCACAATCCCCCAAGCCTCCAGCAGCACCCTCAGCCCCACCGTCTCCCACGGCGCCAACCGCCCCGCCGACCCCCACGGCGCCAACGGCCCCGCCATCCCCCACGGCGCCAACCGCCCCGCCTACCCCCACGGCGCCAACCGCCCCGCCGTCCCCCACGGCGCCAACCGCCCCGCCTACCCCCACGGCGCCAACCGCCCCGCCGTCCCCCACGGCGCCAACGGAGCCCAATGTCTGGCCATCCCCCCAATGTTACGATGTCGTCCTCTGCCCCGCTGTCCTCCCAGCCCTCCAATGGTGCCATCTGCCTCACCATCTCCCCAGCCCTCCGAAGGTGCCCCCTGCTCTCCCCTACATCCTCTGCTCTCCCCTCTCCCCCCTGCTCTCTCTCCTGCCCCCTGCCAGGTGGGTACAGCAGCTGCCTCATGGCTCGCATCTCGTCCAGACAGGTGTTGGTGTCGGTTTTTGGGTCGTTCCCTCTGCAGTCCCTGCAGCCCGTGGTGTCGCAGCGCAGCAGGGGCACATTGGGCAGCCGGTGCCAGGCCTCCAGCAGGCTTTTGGGACCCAGGTCCCGGTCCTGCCGGTAGATCTGCCGGAAGACGAAGGCCTTGTAGTTGTTGTCGATGGGGCGGAAGGTGTCGCTCACCAGCTGTAGGATGTTGTGGGGCCTCTTCACCAGCTGGCACGTCCCCGCACAGGGCGAGTGGATGGTGAAAAAGATCAGGCAGCTTCTCTCGTTGTAGATCCGGGCCAGGAGCTTCTGCATGGGGCTGTTCTGGTTGCCCTGGAGCAGGCGTCGCTTCATCTGGGCAGTCACAATATGCCCTTCATCTGGGTCGTGCAGGCCGCCCTCTTGGTTAATGGCCGCCTGCATGTCCCGCAGCTTGTTCCTGAGCAGCACCTGTTCCAGACCAGATGGGTTCTCACAAGTGGCTTTCTCCAGGCTGACGGCGAAGGCGTATTCAACAGCCAACCCATCCCTAAGGAAAGGCAAAGCGAAGGGCAGTGAGGAGATGTGGGGCTCTGAACAGCTCTGCCCCCAGCCCTGAGCAGCAAACTTGGGCTGGGTCGCACATGGTGCTGTCACTGGCCGCTTCTAGGCTCTCAGGGCTCTAGCCTGGGTCAAGGGATGTTTGCTCCCTGGGAGAATGAAATAAACTTGGAGGGTGGTTTTAAGAAGAAACTGCCACAGGTGCCCCCCAGGATCATCAGCACGGTGTGAGATTTGGTCCGTCAGCTCCCCAGGGCCGAGCGTTACAGGAGCAACAGCTCCCCACTTGAGCTCCAGGAGCAAACCGGAGCTTTTATGTGGAGCCACCGCAAGAGAGGGACGTGACACACAGTTGGCCCCGGGACACACAGCAATTTGCTGGCAAGCTGAAGAATACTGGAGATGGGGGCTCCTCATTTCTCCCCCCAGCTCTGGGAGGGGACTGTGACTGTGGTTAAAGGGAGGCTAACAATGGCACCTATATGTGGCACATTCCCTGGGAAAAGCTCTTGTCTGCCCTCTTAGAGAGCTGGGTTCTCGTCCCACCTCTGCCTGAAGTGGCCTTGTGCAGCTGGACTGGGGAGGGTCGAGGTGGTTCATGGCTGGCTGAGGATAGGGCACGAATCTATAAGTCCTTTTTTGGCAATTAGCAGCGGGAGCCAGGAAACAGAGAGTCACGTCCTCACATCCCCTCTACATTATAAAATAACAATGTAACATTGGGCTGTGAAGGAGGCATTTCTGTCCTAATAGTTCCCACCATCACCAGCTCTTAAGATCTTTAAAGAAAACTTTGTTTGACAACGTTCAACGGTCTGGCAAGAAACCATTTGTCAGCAGCTGTCATTGTTCAATCGATACTTCTATTGTTTTGCCCTGATAGTCCCCCACTTCTCTATTGTTTATCTATATGGTCTCTGTCTGGTTCTTGGGTGGTTTCTGTCTGGTGCATAACTAATTTTGCAAGATTTAAATCAACTAAGCTGGCGGGGTCTGATTGGGTAAAGAATTGTTTTGTAATGGCTAGGGTTGGTGAAAAACGCAATTTTGTAGTATTTTAGTTTACCATTGGGAAAGGTACAGCTAAGCAGGACTCAAGTTTCACTGTATAAACTGGGGTCCAAAAGGAAGGAAGTTCTTTGGATGCTAACTCCAAGGCACAGCCCAAGATCAGAGCCGCTAGCCCTCAGCACCCTGCCAGCCCTCAATGCAGCAGCTGGAGCCCCAGATGACCTGACACTGACTGGCCACCAGGAAAAGTTCCTCTGCCTTATTGGGAGTGGTGAGCATCGTCTGCTTCCCCTGTGTATTCTGTTTTGGTAGCTGTTCATAAATAGAGGTTAAGGATATGACTGGGCAAGGCTCTTTCACTGGTAAAAGGCCCTGCAAACCTGCAGAAAATTACTCCCTGAGCCCTAGGAACTGGAAAAGTGCAAGGGTGCCTAAATTAATCAGGTTACGCCTTGACCTTCACCTTAGCTACCATCTACTGGGAGGGAATCTTGCTCTGGGTGGACACAGTGTGGGCTTGAGAGAGCACAAATGTCACCTGTGGGGCAGGGTTAGCCCTGCAGACCTTCATCCTCTAAGCTGAGCACCCCCTCCTTCTGCAGCCCCCAGCCTCCGGAGCAGGGGGTGAGAATGAAGCCAGGTTCATGGTGGCTTGTCCTATTAGAAGGCCTGAGCGCTATCATGAATATTCATGCTAATGCTCAGTCTCCCATGTCCAAATCTAACCTCCTCACCCTGATAATACTGGGGGCACTTATCCTACAGGCCAGTTCTTTAAAGAGTCTTGGGTGCAAGGTATCTGGTCCTCCTTCATTCCAAAGGGAGTGTACAGCAAGCACATGACTACTGCTGCTCAAAATTTTTCCTACAGAGCAGTTTTCCTTTGGGAAAGGCTGATTCAACAAAATCTGAGCGAATATGTCGATTTTGTGTAATTTTCGGATGAAAAATGATCAGAACAATTTGTTTAGATTGAAACATTTGGTTATGACTGTATTTTTTTTAACTTTTGTTATGTTATATTGCTGTATATAATATACAGGTGAACATATCTGGACTTTCATATTATTATATTATATTATATTTAGATTATATTATAAAGCAGGAAAGTCAAGTTACTAAAGCTGAAATGGAAATATTTTGATCTTTCTGAAATGAAATATTCAGATATGGTCCAACTGAAATCTGTTTTAATTTTTCCAAAACAAAATTTGAAATTCCCATTCCATGGAAGTTTTCAAGTGTTAGTATTAATTTGGACTGAAAAGAAAATAGACATTTCAGAATTTCTGAGGGAATTGGAATTCCAATTTCCAACCAGTTTTTCACAAAAGTAATGAGACCCCCACCCCCCTGAATCCCAGAATCACCCCTCCCAGCTCTACCATGCACTGAGCCACCAATGACATAGAAAATCACAGAGGGCAAACATGAAGCATCTTCCCCCCCTCCCCTGCATTTTCTTCATTTACCACCTGGGGAGGGCAGAGGGGTCACAGCCAGATGGGAAATGCCCCACTGGGTCTCACTCACTTATCTACATGATCCACAATCTCTCTCAGCGCCATGGGTTTGGTGCTCTCGACAGTCTCTGGCCCGAAGCAGAGGAGAAGGGGCAGCAGCAGGAGTCCAGCTCTGGGCATCCATCCCGACACCTGCACAGGACCCCACAGCGTCAATGCCCCTGAGCCTGGTCACACACCCAGAGCCCCCCAACCCATATCGCCTAACCCCTGGTGTGCCACCAACAGGAGAGGGGGCAGGGGATAACCCCCTGAAGATTGATGGGGTGGGGTGTGAATGGCAGACAGGCCTTCCGTGGGGCACTCTGGGCCATGAGAAGGGGACAAAGGGGACTCACCTGGGATTCCATAGGGCAGGAAGAGGTGATGGGGATTCACCAAGGTTTCCATGGGGCAGGAGGCAGGGACGACTCACTAGGATTTACATGGAGCAGGAGGTGGGGGGGACGCCTCACCAGGGTTTCCGTGGGGCAGAAGGAGGCGGGAGGGACTCACAAGAGTTGCCAAGGAGCAGGAGATGAGGGACAGTGGGGCTTCACCAGGGTTTCCATGGGGCAGGAGGAGGTGGGGGACTCACCAGGGTTTCCATGGTGCCAGAGGAGGAGGTGCCGTCGCTCACTGACAGATGCTCCCACCAGATCCCCAGTAATGGGGTCTTAGCTCCCTGCCCCTCTTCTTATAGCCCCATTCTTCCCCCCACCCCCCAACATGCTGCAGAGGGGTGGTGCCTACTCCTGCTGTCCCCGTGACCAGCCCAGGAGCAGGGGAGGTGGGACTCAGCTACTTCATTCAATATTGCCTTGAAAGGAAACTCCATGGGGCTGAGCCAGGAGGGGTGGGGCAGACAGGGGAACAGGATGGGAGATGGCCAGGGGCAGGGCAGACATGGTGGCAGATGGGAGGTGGCGAGGACACTGGGGCCGATGGGGAGGGGGATGGGAGGTGTTGAGGGCCAGGGCAGATGGGGATGAGGGATGGGGCCTGGTGAGGGCCAGGGCACACAGCAGTGGGGGATGGGAGGTGGCGAAGGCCGGCCAGGCAGACTCCAGGCTGAAACATTGGCCTCATCCGGGTGGGTTGGTTTGTCTCATGCTGGTGGTGACAGGGTGAAGTTCCTGATTCTCCTCCTCATGAGCAAGGCCAATAAAGCTTCAGACATCCCGGGGCCTCACATCTCTGTCCCTGTGTCTGGCGCTGTGGCCGTCTGTGCTCCAAGCAGTACCCTGGCATCCCCGTGGTGATATGATTCAGCTATGCTGTGTACACAGTGTGCCTTGTGAGGTATCATTCTAAAAGGCTTGATCTGTTGAACAATAATGTCCTGGTGGATTGATTGTGTTGTCATTGTATGGGAAGTTATGAAGTTTTCCTCGGTGTGTGTCACTGGAAGATGTTGTGAGGTTGGGAGCAGTGAAGAAGCCAGACGGTGCTGATGGCCCATTAAGGGAAATGCACACTGCCAGGGACTATCACGTGTGTACAATGAAGGCTTCTCAGAGGGAGCCCGTAGGCAATGGACAGGGCTTGACTCATGTCATAGCAGAAGACTTTCCAGCAAACTGGAAGACCATATAAAGGAAGGGACATGACTTTTGGCCTCTCGCCCCCCAAAACTAAACACCTGGAAGCAGTTCTGGAGAACAAAGACTGTGAACAGGGGAGGTGGTTCCAGACTGCAAAGGAGAATCCCAGCCTATGTACTAAAGAACTCGACCATCTATCGGGTGTAGCCTATGATTTTAGTTTGGTATTCATTTACTGTGTGATGTCATGATTACATTCTATATACTTATTATATGTTAATCAGAATTGATTTATAGGATTATAATAGTATAATATTAAGCAATATTTCAAGGAACTAGGTAATAAGTCAGACAAGCTGAAACACAAGAAGACTGTAGGCTGAGGCCTGCTGAAAGACTTTAGCTTAGCTATTTTAGGCCTTGGATACAAGCTGGCAACCTAAAAATGACCTGTTGCCCTAAAATCCCTATAAACATTTTAGGAGCAAGGAAGGGACGCCTGCCACTTTTCCAAAAGAAATATGGAACAAAGTAAGTCACCCAGTCAGGCATTTATTGCAACAATTCCAACTCCACAACTCCTGGGAGGCCTTTGGGCGAGACAACATTAAACCCCACGGGAGAGCATTAGTTAAAAACCAGCTACTGCAGTGCTTGGGGCCCCTAGAGATCCCTGAAATTTACTGTATTTCCTCTTTGAAAAGGAAAAGGTAAACAAAAAAACAAAAAAAGGCTTAAGAGGTGAAAGAAATAGCCCCGGACTGTGTATACATAGCATGTAATAACCTATGGAAAAGATTTAAAAGAAAGGAAAACAACTGGGGAAGGCAAAACAAGCCTTATGCAAAGAGCAGAAGACTAGTTACACATTGAAAAAAACAACTTAGTAGGGTAAAGGAGGTAAATCCTGAACTCCTTAATCAAGTTTGGCAAGAGAATTAAGCTACAGTAAGCAACAACTGCAAGAGGCTGGTTATAAAATGATGATGTGAAAAAAGAAGCCATGGGGCAGGAACATTTGTTTGGTCAAGAAGTAAAAATAGCAAAACTAGCTCACAAAACGCCGGCACTAAAGCAAACTTGTGACATTCTGAAGGATATGTATCAACAGGTAATAGATATTGAAGGTGAAAATGGACAGATCCCTCAAGTAAATGCGGAGGATAATTGCATGGAGATGAAGTTGTCACCTGTATATGTTGTAAATATAATTCCAGATATTCTGGTGGCTATGGTGGAACCTGGGAATGACCAACCCACAGCAAGTGGAGGTAGAATTTCACCCTCACTTACCAGACTGAAAGCTAAAATTAGACAGGAAGAGCAACAAGAAACTGAACAACCTGGAAAATTAGGAATAGAGAAAGTATCAGATGCAAACACAGTTGCAAAAAATTCGGGGGTCGGGGTGGGGGGGGAAGCGGGGAATCTAAAAAAGCTGTTAGTGAAAAAAAAAAAGCAGGTCACAGCCAGTGTTAGTGAAAGTTTTGATAAAAAATTAAATATTAAAGGATTAAACCAGAAAATGAAGCTAACGGCAATTAGTATCTATCGTGAAAGTGGGGGGAAGAAAAAAAAACGGGTAAGCCAAATATATTGGAAGCCCATCCATAAAGGGGGTCTTTTATTGCAAGAAAGTCTTTGCAGTCTTTGCAGTCTAAAAGTAACTTTAATATCTCTAAGCCAATCAAGTCAGAAGCCATAATAAAAAGAACAAGTGGCATAATTCATTTTAAATCTAACATGCCCATTGTACCCCAAGACACTTTAGAGCCCAAGCCAGAGCCTCCACAGAAACCCATGCCAGGGCCGGACTTTCCTAAGGTGCAGGCACCTACCCCAGCCAAACGAAAATGTAAAAGGTTACAGCAAAATTCTCTACCTAAATTGTCCATGGTTAAAGTTGCCCAAACTTGGGAGATACCAGTTCCTCTAGAGGAAGAGGAACCTAGACTCCCCAGTGTAACTGTAAAAAAGAAAAAAGAATCCATTTCTAATGTGGAATCAATTAAATCCAGTAACCATGTCTCTCAATAGCCATAGTAACAAGTATAAGAGTCTTAGAAGACATAGAAAAAACAGTGGGGCCAAAAAAACCCAGGAAATCTGGTGGCTGCTCACACAGTACATTTAGAAACTGTAGTAAAATTGTTTCAGTTGGATGGAGAAGACAAGATTAAGATTTTACAGTTAACTGCAGACAGGGCTTTATGAAATACACTGCCCCCAAAATTTCAAAACAAGACAAGTCATTTAAAGACACTGTAGGGTTGTTAGAAAGAAACATGTCCCCAAGCCAGGCAGGAGTGACTTTGGTAGCTTACGTGAAGCAATGGGAAGGCGAGTCACCGCATACATTTCACAATAGACTTTCAGCAGCTTGGCTCTCTAATGAAACGCCTGGCCAGGAAACAAACCCACAATGTATTAATTTGTTTGTTAACAATTCTTTACCAGCAGTTGAGTGTAAAGTAATAATGCATGTTAACAACTGGGAATTGGTCCTGCTTCGAGCAGGGGGTTGGACTAGATGACCTTCTGGGGTCCCTTCCAACCCTGATATTCTATGATTCTATGATTCTATGAACCCTGGAAGCATCTTCCAGAAGTTCTGGACTTATTGTCTAACGCTTAGAGTTATATTCAAACCCAACAAAAAAATCCCAAGAGAAATCTGATGAAGTGAGCTGTAGCTCACGAAAGCTTATGCTCTAATAAATTTGTTAGTCTCTAAGTTAGGCTCACACACTGAGACAGAAGGTCAATCATCTAGTCCAAGAGGGTTAAATAATATTAAAATCAAATCAGACCAAAAAGGGGCCTTACTACGACATCCCCAACTTCAAAATCCCTGTTAGTATCACCCTGGAAACATGACAGATGGCACAGGGGCACACTCCTTACCATCTTCACCAACCACAAGCAGGAAACAATTCATGCCTGACATGAATCGTTACCGCTTCCGTCCAAGGAGCCCAATCTATCAACCCCCTAGTCCTACAATGGACATGATTAGAAAAGAACTTCGCCAAATTTGAAAAACACTGGGCAATTAAACATTTTGCATTTTTAATTGGCTTAAACCCAATGATCTTCCATTCTATGCATACACCCATCCAATTTTTGCTTTCCCATCAAGTTAAAAATGGACAAGAGTCTAATGCTCAATGGGCACACTGGACCTTGTTACTACAGGGCAAAAACAGAACAGTAACATCAGTACAAATCCAATCTCCATTGCCAGAAGTCCGGTGGTATCCAGAAAATCCTTGTGTATGTCCAGATGTGGGGCAAGGGAAACCTTTAAACCATCCCACATAAAAATCACAACATCATACTGCTGTTTTGTTCATGAACCCAGTTACCGCAACCAAGACAAATAATGCACAGAATTTAAAATTTATGGTATCCCTCCAAAATCAAACGACCAATGTCCAGGGTAAAGGCAATCAGAGGGAAAGGAACACTGTTTGGAAGAGACCAGGCTCATGTGTTCCACATTTGGCTCAATAGGCAAAACTTGCAGCAGTGGCTTGTGTACTGAAACAATGCCAAAACCTATCCATTACGACAGAGATTAGAGCCACCCTTTGATTACTGGTTTCAGAT